AGAGGTGGAAACTCTGGGGCATTGAGCCAAAGTGCCTATGTTCAAGGCCAGAGCTGGGCCTGGCCTTCCCAGCCCCTGGCTCTGCCTGACCTTGGCTGGAGCCCCCTCAGTGTGTGTTGACTGGATTTACCTAGCAAGGATATCTGGACCAGAGGTTGTCCAACTTCTCAGAGGCATCCCCTAAAGGGCTTTCAGAGGTAATAAAGTTCAGCTAGGGGCTCAAGGGGCATTGCTACCCTCACTGTATCCAAATAGGCTCTGCTGTAATCTGTTTGATGTCTTAGCTTCTATCTAAGGTTATGATTGAACAAATGAGTTTGTACAGCTTTCCACATGTTGGAACACCCTGACCCAATTACCGTGTTTCCCTAGGAGAAGACCAAGGCCAGAGAACCTTACCCAAACACTCCCCTTGGCGTCAGTGCCAGAGAGACCAGACCTGAAGGCCCACAGACATTTGCCAACTGCCCTGAGGCGCAAGACCTGATGGGAACAGGGTTGGGCACAGAGAGTGGTAGAAACCATAAGATGCAGACTTTTCATTTCAGGAACATTTCTTCCAAACCTTTCTGTTTGGAAGGCTCTGCAGGAAGTGTGCCAGGCACTGCGATAGGTTCTCTGCAACTCTGTCAAGTGGAAGGCTCACTGCAGCCCTGACAGGAGGCACCCCACCCCATTTTACAGGGGAGGCCCAGAGATGGGAAGGGCTGGCTACCCAAGTGTTAGGGCTGGAACTGGAACTGGAACTGGAACGCCTGGGGGTCACCGGGCCTCCCCAGCTGAACTGTGTTCTGGGAGAGACGAATGGTCTGGACTCTGTACCCCACCCTGGGCTTCTCTGGCATGGATGGCCCTGATAAGTTAGTGAGCAACAGGAATGCTTCAGGGAAGCCCAGAGTCTCAATTCCATTCTGCAGCCGGCACCATGGCCAAGTCTGTGGCCAGGCACTACCTGAGGTTGGGCCCAGTTGCTCTGGTCCTATTGGGTTTCAGTCTCCTTTGCATTAACCGGCAGAGGCTAGTGTATGGTGTCTTTGCCTTGCCCCTTAGGATCCACACTAAAGTTGATTTGGGCAAACAGGCTCATCAGCCCCAGTTCCCCGGCATGTCTGGTCCCTGGTTGCCAACACAAAAGAGTGATGCCAGACAAGCTGCAGGTGCTGGCTGCCAGAGAGCAAGAGCAAAGGGCTGCAGGATTCCAGCACAGAGTGGGGCAGGAGGCAGTGAGAAGCAGGGACCGATCCTGCACCCCTACTGTGGACTGGGCACCACGCGGCCCTTAGTACATTAAATCTTTTAGTCTTCGCAAGCACCCTAGGGGTAGTTAATGTCTCAACCTTTCCCTTACAGAGTATGAGGCTCAGAGAGGTTAAGTAACCTGCCCAGGATCAACCAAGTGCATTGTAAGTGGAAGAAGCAAATTGCCAACAGCATGCATAGGATGAGGAGCCCTGGTGAACAACAGTTAAGCGCTCAGCTGCTAACCGTAAGGTTGACGTTCAAACCCCCCAATAGCTCCACAGGAGAAAGACTTCACAATCTGCCCCTGTAAAGATTACAGCCTAGAAAACCCTATGGGGCAGTTCTATCTGTTACATGGGGTCACTAGGAGTCCAAATCAACTCAACAGTACCTAACAACAAGATGCAGAGGATGGTCCCATTTTATCAAGTGTGTATGTGTGATACGTGTACAGAAAATAGAGCCTAATTAGTTTTACACCAGTTTCAGCAGTTATCCCTGGAGGATGAGGCTACAGGGGTTTCTCACTTTCCAAGTTAGGTTTTCTGCAGTGTTTGAAGTTTTCATAAAGAGTGCATATTACTTTTGGAATCAGGCAAAAAATTACTAGTTTTTTGTCCGTTTGTTTTAAATAACTCCCACATTCCAGGGCCCATTGCTGAAGGTTCACTGCTCTCTGGCTCTGGCCTTGTTTTGCAGCATATGATGGGTTTGAGTCCTTGCCCTGTGGCAGCCCTGCCTCCTTGGGCAGTCTATTCAACTTTGAAGATTCTCAGTTCCCCCTCAGTGAAACAGGGACAAGCCCTGCCTTGACAGGGCACTCAGGGGATAAAGAGCTAACACATTAGGTGCCCAGATGCCTGTCTGGAAGGTGGGCAGTCTGCACACGTCATGTGATTGTTCTCCGGTCTTGCTCACCTCTTGTCCCTGCTCTTGCTAGTTCCTCCCTGAAAATGATCAACAATCTGCCTCTCCTGCATGGCCTGTTTCGCTCTCTGTCCTTGTTGTTAGGTGC